AACCCGTTGGTGTAATTTTTGAAGCCCAACCCTGGCTATAGCATCCATTGAATTACCAGACTTCTGCCCTCCCAAAAGGAACTATTCACCTGGTTTCAAAGTTCTGACAGCTGGGCACCACCCCTCTTGCAGTTACATAACCATGTTTTGAACGTTCAGCCACTGGCCCACATTTACAATTGTTTGCAGCGCCCTGTGGTTATGTGACTACAATTTACTGTGGTTTTGCCAAAAGTTGGCATTTACTTCTAATTCCAGCAAAACCTGGTCTATAGCAAACAATATGTTGGCTTAATAACGGCCACATTCATGTAATGACTGCTGTATTCAGTTAATGGCCGCAATGAAAAAAAGGTGTAAAATTGGGTCAGTCAGATGATGACCCGCTTTATGACAATCACAACTTGTAACCATAATTGCTAGGCTCAACTATGATCTTAAGTGAAGGATTACCTGTTTCATGGCTGAACCATCATTGAATTAGCTTGGATCAGAACTTAGTATCTTACTGGAAGTGTAAGGAAGCAATTTAACCCTAGAGATATTATTCCTTTGACAATTAAATATCTGCAGTTTCCTAAAACAACTTTATGTAAACTTAAAATATGTAATGATAAATAAGATAAAAATACTATGTTGTGATAAAAGCATCAAAATTTACGAAAGCAGAGCAAGCTAAATATTGCAGCACAATAGTTTTAAATTGTTTTCAATGAAAAAAAGTTGTGGTTCACAAATACAGTATATGTCTTTTAATAAAATATGTGGGTACAGCTTTCCTGATACAATGTCTATAATAGTTTTATTTGGGCTGGGCATAAGTGAATTTTAAAATATGAAGTAAAATTTAACTTCAGTAGGATAGGGCATTTTAAACCCAAAAGTTTAACTGGGTTTGTGTTTACACAACACTCCAATCTTTATATTCTGGTTTACAAACTGATTGACTAGGTTCACACAACATACGTAATTGCAAATTGCATTTGTGTTTGCCATTATGTAAACTTATCCATAGAAAACAGTTCCTTTATTTCCCACAAATTTTCACAGTGAATTCTGATACCAACGGAGACATGGACAAAGCTTGTGACACTATGCTTTCCCCAGTGTTCCTGATTAAACTTAAAGATGTGGGTATTTCTCAAAAGGACCAAATATGTTGGTCTACACAGGCACCCAAATAGAGGTTGAAAGAAAGGCAATAGGCATTTGGACAGAAAACAAAACATTTAGTGTAATGAATAGTCATGCCCACTCAGCAACGGGGCAGAGAACCCCTTGCTAAAAAAATTTGAAGCCCACCCCTGCCCACATCCCTCTGCTATCCATGTGCAAATGGGCTTTGCAGTTAGGAATTCTTCTGAAAATAGTTTGATTTCTAGAGTAAGTTACGCAAAGAGACAAATCACACCTGTGCTTTTAAAAACCATGACAGTGTAATTACTGACGTTCAGAGAAGGGAGGGTTTCTGTTTGCCTGCGCTTTCCTTTTAAAAACAGGAAATAAATTCAGCCTGAACATAATAAGGAAGATTATCTTCTGATTTGAGATTCAGTAGCATTGAGGGGAGGTTGTGCAGAAGCTGAGTGCCTGGAAGGTAAGTGGTTTGTCAAGCCTATTTATGTGGCCTTCGAGATCCCCCTTGGCTGAGCTCCACAATCTACATCTGGGAAATGTTTGGTTTCGTTTCAAGCTTTCATTGGTCGCTTTTAGTTTCGTTTTATGCTCTCACTGGGCATAATAGAAAGCTATGCAAGGGAGAACATTGTAAATGTGGCTTCGTATGTCGGGCGCCTTTTCTATTGCATCCAGGTCAGGCTATTGAATGGGTATGTATGTTAATTTGAGATGGTTTGTAGTGAATTGTGCATTTGCTTCTGGGCTGTAAATATTTTAATTATTTTATAATACACTGGGCTTCTTTGCACGTCATGTTATTTCCGTTTATGCTTAATATTAGATACAGCATACTTAAAGTCACTGACATCTTTGTGGAATAATTTCATAAACTGTGAAACCGATTGTTTTAGGAGGTATGGTGACATTGGGTTTGGGATGCTGCTAAGAGAATATTTGGAAAAACCTGAATGTAATATTCTGATATTAAGGAGTGGATTCAAAGGTTGTATAATTTATGTAGTTCAAAAAGGAAATGTTATCTATTGGTCAAAAAAGGATGTAGTATGTTTTCCTTTTGCATAGATGATTTTTTTACAATAATTGAGTATTACCATTTTTTTCTTTAATTTCAATATTTTTAAATATTTAATGGATATGTGATATGTATTGATAGTTTGTTATTCCTTTTTGTTGTTTATTTTCAGATAGATAGATAATATAGATAGATAGATGGATAGATGGATAGACTGATAGACGGATAGACGGATAGATAGATAGATAGATAGATAGATAGATAGATAGATAGATAGATAGATAGATAGATATAGATATATCAATAGATAACACTATATATATAG